TATATATATATATATATATATATATATATATATATATATATAAAAATAATATATATATATATATTATTTTTTAATTTAAATTATAGTACCCACAACATTATATATTATATATGTAAATATATCTTTATATATGTATATCGTGCTTCAATAAAACTGGAAGCATCCATCTTGCTCAACACGTTGTGCTTAGATTCAGCGTACTTTCAGTTCGCTGAAAAACATGGCGACCGCTGAGTAAACATGTTGCGCCGCTGAATGCGTTAAGCAGTACCGTTCAGCAGAAAATCATAAAACAGTTGTGTTCTGCTGAACGCAGCCATTGGCCATTTTTATGATTTTCTACTGAATTTTTTGCGGTATTTAACGTATTCAGCGGTGCAACATGTTTATTCAGCGGTCGCCATATTTTTCAGCGAACTGAAAGTACGCTGAATCTAAGCACAACGTGTTGAGCAAGATGGATGCCTTCAGTTTTATTGAAGCACGATATACATAATAAAGCACGATATAAAGATATAATATATAATGTTGTGGATACTATAATTTAAATTGAAAAATAATATATATATATATATGTATATATATATATATATATATATATATATATATATATATATATATATATATAGAGAGAGAGAGAGAGAGAGAGAGAGAGAGAGAGAGAGATGTTCTGCTGACATGCCCCCAAAGAGTATTCAGCAGAACATCTAAACTGTTGCAATGTATCATTAAACCGTTTACAAACCCTTATAGAAATATCATACTAAGAATCATTGATAATTACTTATTATCCAGTATTTTTAATACTGAAAATAAGTAATTATCAATGATTCTTAGTATGATATTTCTATAAGGGAAGCGCTGAGTTCTGCTGAACGCAGCCAATATGCGGAACTCTGTTTCTTTCGAACGTTCTAGATTTAATCTGCGTTGTAATGTACTTTATTTGTATATTAGAAAATATGTTGATATTACAATAATAAAATACTTCAATTTGATAATGAAAAAACGTTAACGTTCACGTAAAAACTCATGGATTAATTTACATCCACGTAATTCACGTAAATCACGTGATTTGACGTAGAAACAACTTGCTTGTTTTTGTCAAGAAACTTTTCGTTTTTTACGAGTTTATGAGAAGGAAATAAATATATGATCGATTTAAAAATTAGTGCTATGACTTTAAAACGTGACTACGACCGTATTGTAAACGATCTCTAAATGTAAGGAGCCTTTTATAAGTTGAAACAATCGGCCCTAAGTTATTATTTATAAGCTATAAGCAAATTAACCAATTACAGTTGATTATTTTCAAAAAATGGTTGTTTAACTTGCGTACGGCTTATAATTAATAGTTTATTGTAGAAATGCTTATTACAGATAGTAATTAATGTTATATTTGTTGAAATTTACCTTACTATACGTTAAAGCTGCGTCCTAAGACCCACTGGTGATGTTAACAGCACGAATACACAAATGTGAATGCCATTCTGATTAGTAGGGATGCCACGTATGTAGGAATATTAGGATAAAGTATAAGGATAGAGTAAAAACCAATCAAAATCAGGTACGTTTTTTTTCGTCTCCCGGAGGAGAAAGCCACAGAGAGAGGGGAACGAATTAAAAACGTGCCTGATTTTGATTGGTTCTTACTATGCGCAAGCGTACAGAGAGTACAGTGTAACGTCCGGATCTATTTTAGAACATTAACAATATATTATTATAGACCGGGAGGCCGACTTGTCTGATTTCAGACATCACTAGATATTATATCCCTATGTTACTAGATGTAAGTACGTGCGCATATGCATATTCGCGAGCGTTAAAACATTATAATTAAAATGCCGAATGCTGCGTGCTGCTGGAGAGTCTCGAAATCGACGGATCTCGGATCGACCCAAAGAAACCGCTATCGCTCAGTGCGATAAGCCAACATAAACAGGAGCATGAAAGCTGAATCCTAAACACCACTCAGGACACCGACGCGGTGACATCATGCAAAGGAATGAATCTCTTCCCTCGCCATAACTCCATGGACCAATCGGAGAACGACTCTCAGCGACAAAGCGACGTATAAAAGCGCGCGCATTTGTAGAGAAGGCAATATATATAATTATTTTCTTCTCATAGTTAGTCTCTGGTAGCTTCATGTACTTATTCAGTATATTATACTTAGTCGTAAAATCCGACTGTGTTGCAATTACTTTTGCCTACCCTTCATATTTCAAACGTTGCGAAATCAAATTCTGAATCGCGGGCCGCATCAACCCGCGTGGTATCGGAACATCCGAGGCCGAGCCAGGAGAACAAGCACCGCTGACTTTTCGCCAGATTCATCAATCGTTTCGCCAGGCTCCCGAGACCCAGGGTAAACTCGGTGAAAAGCAGAGTGACCCAAAAGCGGAGCCATCACTCTGTTGACCGTCCACGTAAGTCACTGATTTCACTACTTTCAAATTTCCCTATATAGTTATCTATCGTGGACGTAACAACAGAGAGTACTATGCGATTCCTGTACAGAGGACGCGGTAATGCTTGCCGTGCGGCGGAACTCAGGTAGCAAAGTGTCGTCTATGACGTCTAAGACGTCTATGGCTGCGTTTCGAAATTCACTGCCAGTACTGAAATTCTATAGTTCATGTCACGTATATTATAGAATTTCAGTACTGGCAGTGAATTTCGGAACGCAGCCTATGACGTTTTAATGACGTCTTTAGACGTCACCTTGCTACCTGGGAAGTTCGCGCGACAGCCAATCAATATACTACTTTCCGTAATAATTTTCTATATAGGTCTACTGTAGGGTGCGTTCAGATTCCTCATCCGGGTGCACTCTACTACTAGAAACACTATAGTATATGTGACATATACTATAGCACTTCTAGTAATAGAATACACCCGGGTGGGGAATTTGAACGCAGCCGTAGGTCTATTCTTTAATGGCTCCTGCACACAGAACGCTGTAATGCTTGCCGCGCGGCGGAAGTTCGCGTGATAGCCAATCAATATGCTGCTTTCCGTAATAACCTTCTAGCTCTTACGGAAAAATAACATATTGATTGGCTGTCGCGCGGACTTCCGCCGCGCGACAAGAATTATCGCGTCCTGTGTGCAGGAGCCAAGAGCCATAACTTTCTAACGACAACGTTGTTATCGTTACGCAGCGACAATCGTCGCTTGCGCTAACGACGTTGTAACGAAAAAGTTATTCTGTAACTCAAACTAGCGATACCGTATCGATACAAAATGTAATACCGACGTCGTTACCGAAACGAGTATATTCAGTTCAATATAACTTCACTGCTGCAGTATTCGGCCAATCAAATCTCTTTTCTTTGTGTATCTTTTTCAGTAAGTTTAGGAACAGTAAATACAAATATTGGCTGTATCAACAATTATATGTGACAGTTAACCAAAATATATCAAAGTAAGTATATATAAAATAAATAATACACAAGAAGATTAAATCAAACATTAATTTGGCATCAACTATATGAGCTTATATTAAAATCGTAATTTGTCATCAATATGTATATGATATAGATGTATATCGACATAATCTAATAAAACGTAATACACAAGTATCACAATGAAAAAATGTAATTGTACATATAATATTAATCTTCGAAACATACATAACATTTTTTTTTAATGTAATGTTTGCATATTATGTTTTAGATTATGTTCATACATGTTGTTAGCAAAATACATGTGAACCAATAGAGTTAATATCAAATAGATGTCATATATTTGGTGTGTGTATGTGTGTGTGTGTGTGTATATATATATAAATAACTGTATGTTAATCAATATATAAAAAATTGAAAAAATATATGACTATATTAATACATTTTTGATATTGTTTTTTTAATATTTTTGTAGACATGGCGAGATCATAAATCAAAAGTATCTGAAAAGATACAAAAATTAAGGAAAGAAAGTGCTAGTAGTCGGCAACTGTAAAGCCGACGTACAAACGTAGAGCCACACTTTCCTACTATTTGGAGAATCGTTATACCTAGTTATATTGTCCTTATTGCTTATTGAGGGGTCCCATACCCCTCGATATCTTAACGACAAAATTGGATATTTTATCAACACTTTTAACGATATTTATCGTTAAGAAAAATTACAGAATACCATTTTTCGTTACAATGTAGTTAAATCTCCGTAACGACACCCTAGGCTAGTGACATTGTCGTTAAGAAGTTAGAAAATAGGCCTACAGAGCACGATGGGAGCGTCCCGATTGACCACGGTACGATTGGACACCACCAACTGTTACAAAGAATTATCTAGTGAGTTACCAGGTCGAACCAATCATTATAATCTGTGTCCAATCGTACCGTGGTCAATCGGGTCCCACCCCCAATCAATATGTTGTTTTTCCGTAAGAGCTAGAAGGTTATTACGGAAAGCAGCATATTGATTGGCTGTCGCGCGAACTTCCGCCGCACGGCAAGCATTACTGCGTCCTGTGTGCAGAAGCCATACACATTTGCCACGTGGCGGAAGTTGCCTAGAGAATAACACAGTAGCTAATCAATATGTTGCTTTTCCGTAAGAGCTAGAAGGTTATTATGGAATATTGTATATTATTGACTGTCGCACCAACTTCCGTCGCGCGACAACGTTGCCGTGTTCTGTGTGCAGGAGCCATCAGTGAGCGATTGTAGTATTGAATACACCAATGCACTATCGTATCTGTGATCTGTGTGCCAGCATATCGATGATTGATTCTTTTTGTTTCGGATTCCTAACCTCTCGCTCAGAGGAGCATCAAGTGTTTTATTCATTATTTTCTCCACAAAACTATAATAGAATGGATAACAGTGTCAATTAATAAATCACAAAGTGAATAATATGCCGACAGAAGATTATCTACAGCTATTTTCTTCTAATCTTTGTGGAAATTTTAGACGAAGTACGTCATAATAGGAAATTGCTCACGAATAACCATAACACCGCTTCAATTGCTCATGAAAAATTTGCAAGTATAATAAAACAGTAACAATGGCGTATTCCGTGAATATTTCTATAGAAGCGCCGATCGAAAACCAGATACAAGAAATCTCCTACGATGGACAAGAAATTTACCAAGCGTAAGTAATAAATTTGACGAAAATAACAAATGATATAATGAAAAATAATAAATTACATTTGATTGACATAATTTTTATTGGATTTTAATCTGTCATTGAAAAAGTGAAATCTGGTGAATTTTTTCTTTCTTCTCTGGTTGTATTTTTATAATTTCTCCAAGCTTGTAATAGTTGTGTTTAGTGGAACAAAACAATCAATAAACAGTCAGTGATTATTGATCTTTACTGTTAAGTCACTAATTCTAATTATGTTGATGAATTATTCTGAACTGTTATATAACTGTTATGTTTGGTGAATGCACCTATTCTCTCATGATTCTGTGGAACATTGAAATTTAATAACAGCTAAGAGAAAAAATGCTCTTAAGATATCACAAAGATTTAAAGAGAAAAAATGAAATATATAGAATTTCTCAAATTCTATCTTTCCAATAATAGGTTAAGTATATATAATATCTGATTATTAAATCCAATTTGGTGAAAATTGAATAAGCATCTGTGTTTGCTTTGAATGCTTATTTATATAGTACTAAACAATAGTGTTAGGTGATTATAAACGAAAATGTTTTAACAAATTTTTAATACATATGATGGACAAAAAATTAATCTATTATATAAATATTAATATGTTGTTGGAATTGTTATTTAATAATGAGGAATGAATTATGAGGAGATTTATACAATAAGAATATGGAAAATATTATTGTATTTCTTGCAATAAAAATCTCAAACTGCAAGCTTATACAGAAAAAGTTATATCATAGTTGCATTCACTTTGGGTATCATACACTGTAAACATTTGTGTTTTTGTTATGTTAATGAAATAAGCATTTGTTAGATCTGACATTATAATAATGCCATTATACCTATGAGCACTTATAATGCTAAAGCAAATAATATGAATGATGTTTATGAGTGCTTTAAGCAGTGTTTAAATAAGCATGACTAATATATGTGTATAAAGCATATTTTGTTTTTTTTTGTAGACCTCTTACATTATCAGAGAACCTGGCAAAAATTGCTCAAAAGATTGACTTCAGCAAAACAAATGGTGATGAGATAAGCAAGGAGCAATTGGAGGGTGGTGAAAAGAACGAAGAGGATCAAAAAGATTCAGCCTCATTTCAGTCCTCTTTGTGGCCATGGGATAGCATTAGGAATAAATTAAGGTTTGCTATACTTTTCTTTCTATAAAAATATATATAACATAACAATATATAACACATATTATACTGCATATATATTACATATATATTATTATAATATACTATGTAACATATAGTGTATAATACATATAATATACATAGTAATGTATTATTACATATACTATTATGTATACAACAGCAAAAGCCTCAATGGTTATGTTTACCAAAGAAAGTTGCTTTGCAACTGTTAGGAAATTCATAAATCTGATTGGTGTATATCTCTTAATCTAGGTGCATGCACCAATCAGTTTCATGAATTTTATAATAGTTTTAAAGTAGTTTTCTTAGCTGATTGTAGTCATTGATTTAGGTAATGAAATGTGAATTTGATTACTTTGATAGGAATGCATTAACAGAAGTTTGCGTGTTAGCCGATGTGCTTGCAATAGCAAAAGAGAAAAATTATATGGTGCTAGATCCAGTACCTCAAGAATCAGTTGAGGTAAAGCCTATGATGCAAGTATATGCTAGGAAGAAGGCACTGACAGGAGCAGGGAATCTTATCATTCATGGGGCCCAAAGACTGCAGAATAGTCAAGCCGAATTAACCAAAAATAGATCCACTCCTGACTTTCATATAGAATTATTGAGATTACGACAAAATTGGCGTTTGAAGAAAGTGGCAAACTCTATCATTGGTGATCTCAGTTATCGAACTGGTTTGTATCTCATAGCCCATATATCCTTTGTCATTTGGAATATATTGTGTCTTTATATGTCAAGACACAATATATTGTCATAAATATTATAGCTATAAAATTATGAAGCATCTTTAATATTTTATTGATTTAAAAATTTTTATCTATATTTTAGCTGGCTCAAAGTATACACAGACGGGCATGTTCGAGGTTACCAAAGCTGAGGATGAGGAAAGAAATAGTAATAGTCCGCCAGTATCTCCTAACGCCGGTAGCAGCACATCGGGACAGCCTCACGGTCCCTCAAATTCAAAGGCTTCTGCATTGCGAGTAACCATACCCAGTGAGCTTCAAGGCGTTGCTTATATCGAAGTATTGTGTCAGAAAGGTATAATACATATATACGATAAAAATTGCTTGTAAGAAATACATACAAAACGAGTGAACGTTTATGTGTATTCTTTATAGATCAAGAAGATCTTTGCAGCGCAAATATAAGTCTGCTTAATAGCAGTGCAAATAGTTCAAATGCGGATATGCATTGGCAGCAGAAATTGGAAGCAGCGCAGAATGTGCTATTTTGCAAAGAGCTGTTTAGTCAATTAGCGCGGGAAGCTGTACACTTACGCGCGCCTATACCTCATATGGTTGTAGGAAATCAAATAATGGCTACGGTAAAGTATATCATATACTATTCAAATATATATCATATATCAAATTTAAGTTAATTAAATTATATTGAAAAGTTCTCAGATATTCAATCACTAATAACCTTACTAATAATATCGCTTCATTAATTATATAATTAATTTTTCAAACTAGATCGTATCATAAAATTGTATCTAGTATAATCGTTTCATTTATCTGATTACACACTAGGTACTTCCCGGAATTCAATTAATAATTGGCTTATGCCACAGTACAGGCAACGACAAAAAACCCACGGCTCCACCGCCGCACAAAACGGACCACGATCACGTGTTAGAGCATTCTCTGCACCAACTGCTACGCGAAGTACATCACAAAAACACACATCATCCATTGCCTCATCCTTCGTCTGGCCCGCTTGGTCCCAGTAAACGTAGATGCTTAGCCGGCCCCACTGCAGCCGATAGATACGAGCTTCTAGAAATGGCAAAAAGTCAAACGTTGTTAGAGCAGATTATTCAACAGGCGCAACATTTCTTTATGCGTTTACGTACAGAATATGTATTAGATACGATAGCGAAGGAAGTCAAAGATCCCCTCATCGTTTCACATTGGAATGCTCTCAATTCGCCGACGCAGTCCTGTGTGAAGATTAATATCCTCACGCACGGGTACGACAGTGTGTGCCGGACGTCGCTAGTCGTCCATGTCGGCGAAAAATCGTTGAAATGCGTTTGCCGCGACGGCAGAGTTATGCATATGAGTTACGAACCTCAGGAATTGAGGGACTTAATTTTTTGTCAGGTTAGTCCTTTGGCTTAACATTCCTTTTCATCTTCAGTTTGACAAGTTCTTTTCACAGTTATTCTATGAAATATAAAAATCTAAACACAATCAAAGTTGTAAAAATATCAAATTATTCTTAAATTAATAATTGATTTAAACAAATATGCTTCAACTAATTGATAATTGATTCGAGCAAATTCAATCGAAGAATGTTTAATTTTGACAATTAATTTCAATTAATTCAATTAAAAATTATTCAAGTAACGATTGATGTGAACGAAGGAAATAAAAAAATCATTTAGTTAACAATTAAACTTAGCAAATTTAATTAAACAACTTTTAATTAAATTTACTAAGTTCAATTAAACGGCCTTTATTAATCCAATTTATTAAGTTTAATTGTTAGAATGAGCAATCTTTGATTTTTTTTGTTCATATCAATCATCAATTGAACAGTCTTTAATTCAATTCATTAAAACATCGCCAATTCAACGGTCTTCGATTGAATTTGCTGTCAATTTATTGATTTGTTAAAATCAATTGTCAATAAGACAACTTCCAATTGAATTAGCTCACAGTACTCATCAATTTTAAACATAATAATTGAAAAAAGTAATTAATTACTTGCAACCTTGAACATAATTTAAATATCAAATCTTTTTTCTCAAATATTTTCTTAAATATTTATCTATCTTAATGCTCCTTTTTCGTTATACAATTGTAGATTTATCAGCATCAGATAACTGCAGTGCAAGCTTTGGCCAAATGCATGGGTTGGCAGTTTTTAGCAAACAGTTCACATCTTGGTGTAGGTTCAGTGGAACCTCTAGGAAATGCCAGTAGTTGTATTCTAGCCTCACCAATTGGGGACAGGTATTTTGTAACAGAAATTATTTATAATATATTTATGATATTAAAAATATTATGATAGTTATGATATTGAAAAAACTATATGCGTCTGTGTCATACTTAATGATAATCCGATTGTATTTTCAGAATGATAGCTGTACGATGTGAACCACAAACTGGCGTGCAGGTGTCCATTGCTCATTCGCCTCGAAAGGATTTCTTCCCAGGCCAACTGGTTCGAGAGAGGAAATGGGAGAATCTGGGTGGCTCTTTCAAGGAAGTCAGATGGGACAAGATGGAAGGGAAAAATTTTCTCAACAAAATGGAGTTACTCATGGCTTCCTTAACAAGTTCTTAAGTAATGCAAAATTATCGGCAAAGATAAATCAATTTTTTCAAGATGACACTCGTAACAATCTTGTTTTTAAAATAGTTCGATTTCGCACGTAAAATATAAGACGTTTTATTATAATAAAACGGATTTTGATTTTATAAAGAACATTTTCTTTTCTCGAAAAAATATTTATACAAATGTAACCAATTTCCTTGCCTCCTTTAATTGTTAATTGTTTTCAGATTGCTATTACGAAACTTATGACTGTGATTTGTGAGAATTTACAGTTGTCTTTATATATATATATATATATATATATATATATATATATATATATATATATATATATATATAT